AACTTTAAGACTTGTGGACTTCAACTCCCAGAATTCCTCAGCCAGCTTTGCTGGCTGAGGAATTCTGGGAGTTGAAGTCCACAAGTCTTAAAGTTGCCAAGGTTGGACACCCCTGGCCTAGATCCTATTGCTGAAGTGTTACTACCTGCACAAGCTATCATAGAAAAGTAACTATCTTTTGTGACAGAAGATTTTATTAGCCACTAAAAATCTGAATAGTGTACTTAATAATGAAGGGCAAAAGCAATACAGAAATAGCAGTTAATGCAAATTAAATGGCATGGCATATTACAAAACTTTTTTCCCCCTATTTTTATGAAAAAGTATGTATTTGAATAACTGAGTTGAGAAAAAGATTCAGATTTTTAATTATAAATAAAGTACTATAAACATGCTTCATATAAGGAATACAGTGTTTTCCTTTGTAGCAGAGTACTATTGTACCATTGGACTAAATTTATTTTCAGCAGATCTAACTGAAATAACCTTCTACTCTCTCTCAGTTGAATTCATTTTGAATCAAAATTGCTTAATATAATCTAAGTGAAATCCATTAACTGGAAAAAAAACAACCAGTTAGGTTTCTCGCTGGTTAACAATTTTCAGTTCTTCACAAGTTCCCAGCCACATTCCTATTTATACTGCAGTAATCAAGAACACAAAAATGTAACCTCAAGTATACATGCAAGCAGTGCTTAAAATGTAGTAACATTTCCTTGTATTCCCCAACATTTACTTATCTAATCTCTATGGTATGCAAATTATTTAAACCCTTATTACAAACTCAACCCATTTTCCACTTACTCTATACTCCTAATTATCTTCCTTTCTATCACATATTCTACTCAATCAGATCTTTCAATATTATTTTAAAAAGTACTGAGGCTTTTTGAAGCACTGAGCATTTAAAAAGCTCACATATCATTTTTTGTGGAGGGTCTGACATTTGCCTTTTATCTCACTGTTATAAAAGTAACATGAATCTAAGCACCACATCCACAGGCAAAAGTCAAAAGCCTTCTGATATAAGATCACCTTACCTACCCAAATGCAATTAAGGCAAAACTAACATATCCTATTTCCTTTGAGACTAGAAAATCAATTATAAACACAAAAACATCACTTATCTCTTTCCCTTTTCCATCTTGCTTTACTCATTCAGTATTGCACATCTGAATATCATTATAATGCACTCCTAATACATTTTAGTGTACTTCTATTCTTTATACATTAATAGCACTTACAAACTGCAAAGGCACTTAGCGATAAGTGTGCAGCATATTTATTGCAAAATTTCACTCAATTTGTGAATAGGATGATTCAAAACAGTATTATCTACAATGTAATTAGAAATGGTTATAGTGAAGGTGATTTGTATATGCAGATTGCATTTCTCTCCATAGACTCTTAATTTGTTATACTGAACAAAACAGATGTGGCTGGATTCTTTTGCACACAGAGGTGTCTGTCTTGCATACGGTGGCGTAGATTATCATTGATCCATACAATGGCATTCAGTGTTTTCAATTGGAAAGGAAATGGTATATCTGGTACTTAATACTTAAAGATCATCACTTTCTACCAATCCAGACTGCAACGTCAGATGTCCTGGGTTTGCTTCTGGCTGAAATGCAGCTTTGATGTCTAGTCCTTGGTCAGAAAGTGCTGCATACCGGCTGGCTGAGGGACGCACTTTCTTTGGCTTAGTGGTTTGGGACTGTTGTTGCCACTGAGCTGGAAAAAAGAGAAAAAGGGAAACAATTTACCAATGCCTCAAAACACAAAAATGGAGACAATTACTGAGCCACTTCACCTTCTTTGAGGGGAAAAGGACCAATCATTCAATTTAATTAAAGAATTATCACAAAACTATCTAAAATCAAATTGCTGAAGATGTATTCATATAGCAATTATCAACCAGAAAATCAAGTTACCAAATCCACTGGAGATGTTTTGTTAATATAAGAAGTGTAGGGAGATGTGCTGCCTTACATTCAGTCACTATCATAAATTGATTTTTTGTGCTCTTTCACAGTGAGATCTGTTCCCCTTCTTTGCTTCATAATGTCAACTCATAAAACATTTTCTATACATGTTTTATAGTTGTCAACAGAAAGAGAGGGGGAGTTTCAAAGAGCAGGTGGCAGTGTGGAATCGAAAGTACTTCCCATTCATATTTTCTTCAAAGACGGATTAGATGACTGAAGCTTCTGCCGCACAAAAATCTAATTGGAGAGCATGATTGATGACTCTTGGCTATGGACGTGTTTCGTTGGAGAATTGAATTATGATGCACCCAGAGGAGTGGGAGGAAAAGCAGGGTCAAGGGTGACAGTGAATTACATGTCTCAGAGTCGGCTACACCCAGGTCATGCCGACATATTGATTTCCAGTAAATCCTTTGACGTTTTGGGACTGTGGCTCGAGACTCATGATTTAATTGGAGTAACTGCCAGAATCCTGACACATATTCAGTTGGTTATTTTATGCTGATTTCTAAAGATAATGGATGTCAAAAACAATATAAACTCCTGAAAGTATATGAAGCTGACTTTGGCTTTATCCAGATTAATTTCTAACTGGCAGAGTGTTTAAAATAAACTATCACTGTACACACCGACACACAGAAAAGTTAAGAACAAGTATTCCTTTGACCCAGGACTCTCCTATGCCACTGATTTCTATAAAGATGCTAGAAGACTACCAAGTTTCAGTGGAACTTCTAAATAAAAGAAGAGGAATGTGATCTTAACAAATTCAGGTAAGAATAACAACATAAAACTTTTTAACGTTACAATAATGACAAAGGATTATTTCACCTAAAACATGACTTATTCTATACCAGCCTTTTCTAAAACATTTTTATAGACAGAAAAAAATATATAAATGTTGGTTTGCTCTCTGATAATCATGCAGTGTACTCTTTTAGATCTGCAGTAGCAGCAGGTTTCACTATATCCCCATCCTCTTTTTTTCTCCCCCCCGTTACCACTCTTAAATCTCCAACTTTATCTATATTCCCTGCCTTGTTTTTGTATCATTTTCTTGCTCTTTTTGTCCTTATTCTGCTTGGTAACAGTATAAATGACTTTTTTTTATCTCAGCAATTAAAGATCAAAAGATCTTTTCACACACAACATGATGGCAATGTTGAACATGGACTGACTGCAAATCCCTGCAAAGAAATACAATTAGATGGGGATGATAATGATTACCTCACTGACATGGCATGGACTCTTCAAATCTACATTTAGAATATATGCACCAGAACGTGAGGAAGGCTGTTTTCAGAGGCTTGAACCAATTATGGTTATATTAAAAAGAATGGTTATGCTTTATAAGCGGGGTTTGATCTAAAAGTCAACAAACCTGACTCTAACATTGTTATTACATAAGGAATAGCTATAGGTTTCGGACAATTCTTCCAAATACTATCAACATTCATATAGCATCTTACTATAGACATCCAGTCTTGCTGTGCAGGAAACAATCCCAGCTTCATTTTTTGCTGATACAGTGTACCAACCAGCATCTTCTTTTGTAGCTCCCTGAATAAGCAGGCAGATGTATCCATGATTATCTTGGTGCATGCTTAAAAGAATAAAGAGACACATGAAAACATATAACTAGATAACTGGCATAAATGTATAAATCTACAACTTGCCTCATGGTATAACCGGAACTAGGGGTGGGATTCTACCAGTTCATACCTATTCGCTAGAACCGGTTGTTAACATTCTAAGCAGTTCGGAGAACCGGTTAGAAGAAATTACTGGCCTAATCCTGTAAGGAAGGCAGGAAGGAAACATTCTGGTGTTGCTTACAGAAACTGCCTCTCTGTTAACCCTTATTACATTCTTGGCAGGACTGTCTCAGGAACTTCTCTGGAGTTTTCCCCCCCCCCTCCTTTGCTGGTACTTTGCTTGTGTGGAATGACCATTTAAAGTTACAATGGCACTGAAAAAAGTGACTTATAACCATTTTTCACACTTACGACTGTTGCAGCATCCCCAGTCATGAGAGGCCAGGCGAGGAGATGCGTGCCTCAATGTGAATGATATTGAGTTGGCCACGCCCAGCCAATAACATGACCACCAAGCCATGTCCAACCAGTCACATGACAACCAAGCCATGCCCGCCACGCCTACAGAACTGGTTGTTAAATTTTTTGAATCCCACCCCTATTTGGAACTGAACACACTCAAAACTGTAGAAATGATGGTAGACTTTAGAAGAAATCCTCCCATACTACCACCTCTTACAATACTAGACAACACAGTATCAACAGTAGAGACCTTCAAATTTCTAGGTTCTATATCACATGACCTAAAATGGACACCTAACATCAAAATTGTCATCAAAAAAGCACAACAATTCTTTCTGCGCCAACTCAGAAAGCTCAAACTGCCCAAGGAACTGCTGATACAGTTCTACAGAGGAATTATTGAGTATCATCTGCACTTCTATAACTGTCTGGTTTGGTTCTGCAACCCAACAGACACAGTTTTCAGGGGATAATTAGGACTGCAGAAAAAACAATTACTACCAACCTGCCTTCAATCGAGGACCTGTATACTGCACGAGTCAAAAAGAGGGCTGTCAAAATATTTACAGACCCCTCACATCCTGGACATAAAGTGCTTCAACTCCTTCCCTCAAAACGATGCTATAAAGCACTACAAACCAGAACAACTAGATACAGGAACAGTTTTTTCCTGAAAGCCATCACTCTGCTAAACAAATAATTCCCTCAACACTGTTCAACTAAAGTCTGCACTACTATTACTGTTAATCTTCTCATCACTCCTTATCACCCATCCCCTCCCACTTGTAACTGTACGACTGTAACTTTGTCACTTGTATCCTTACGATTTATATTGACTGTTTCCTAGTATGATTTGATTGTTGATTGTACCCTATGACTATCATTAAGCGTTGGAACTTATGATTCTTGATTTTTAACGAATGTATCTTTTCTTTTATGTATACTGAGAGTATTTGCACCAAGACAAATTCCTTGTGTGTCCAACCACACTTGGCAAATAAAGAATTCTATTCTATTCTATAAATTATTTTAAATAACTCTGAATGATAAACAAGTATGTTTCAGCACATAGATCAAGTGAACACATGTAGTCCTTGACTTATGTCGCTTAGTGACTACTAGAAGTTACAATAGACTCCAAAAATGGAACCTATGACACAGTTTCAAAGTTCCAAGATCTGTCCCCTGGTCATTTTGAACATTCAGCAACAGCCCACATTTACCGAGATTTGCAGTCATGTGATTGTGGTTTATTATGCTTTTTACCAGAAACCAGTGTTTACTTCTGTCAAAACCCACCTTACAACAAACAATGGATTCACTTCACAACCACCACATTCATTTTATGACTAACATATTTGCTTAATGACCATTACAAGTGAACAATGCAGCCTAGACTATATAGACACATTATGGGTTTTCCCCTGCCATAAGGGAAAATGTGCTTATACATGGGATTTTTGAATCTACCTGCTAAACGGGGCAGTTGCATAGCATTTTAAGTGTGATCAGATAAAAAGCTCACAATCATTTGGTATGATTCTATATGACAAATAAATAGCTTCTCTTTAAAACCCAGTCAGATGAAGTATTTTAAAACTCAAGTTCTTAAATGGATAAAGCAAAACTTAGTCACCATGGAAATGAAATTTTGAGAAAATCAGAAATGAGACCATAGGAGAAAAAATTGGAATAGAATCAATCCTAAACTACATACAAAACCAGCAAGGTGGTTTGCTCACCTGGAGAGGATGTCATGGGATTCCATACATACAAAGCATATAAAAAAAGAGAAGTTCAAAGAACACAAGGCAGACACAGAAGAAAACGGAGAGACAACATCAAAGACATACTACAACAACATAAATTAACAATGATTGAGGTCACCAGAAGAGTAACAGCCAGAACTTTGCATTTCTCTTGACATTCAGTATGGTAAAGGAGAAGGAGGGGAAGAAGAAAGAAGAAGAAGAAGAAGAAAAAGAAGAAGAGGAAGAGGAAGAGGAAGAAGAAGTACTAGTAGTTCTTAAATGGAAAGTGACATTAAGCTTATATCTAGAAGTACAGAAATCACAAGTTGAATGATCTCCTATGCAATGTAATTATGAAGGTTATAAAATGAAATAGAATATTAAATAGTAATGTTACCCATGGCTTCAAATTTAACCCCCGCCCCCACATTTTTAGATTGCAATCAAAAGCCTCAAAACATTTTAGCTCCATTCAATTTCAACACTTTCAACTTTTGTTTGTTTACTTGTATCATAACCATCATAATTAAAATTACTATACGACATAGCATTTAGAAGATAAAATACAAGATTAAGATATCTACAGGTTAAACAGATTTTGCCCAGAAACTAGTAACATTAATTGTGTTGTGTTGTACTGCCTGATCAAGTGTGCACTGATCACGACACAAAGGATAATACACATATTTGTTGTTGTCTGCATGTTACCACAATTGCAAAGGGAAGAATCCTGGATAATCCCATTATTTTCAGAGTGTCTCTGGATCTAGTTGTGCCTGTGTGCAATCTATTCAACAATTTCCATACTTCCCAACTTTTACCAGACTTGGCTGCTCCATTGATTTGTTCCAGTGTTGGTTCTTTGTAGCTTTCCATAGGTCCTCTCTGCTTTTAAACTTTTGAAGTCTTCCGTTGATGTAAGGAAACTTTTCCTAGATTTTAATTTCTGATGAACTGGTTGTAGGCGTAGAGAGGGTGTTGTCTAGATATAAATGATTTAAGCCTGTCTCTGTATGATGCTGCTTCTCTGCAAACAGAAGGTGTGGTGCAATGCTGGCTAGGTGGTAGATCTTATCTAGAGGAGTAGTTTTAAGGTATCCGGTAATAATTCTGCTAGCTTCATTCAGAGCAACATCTACTTTCCCATCAAGTACTGATTTATATCAGACTGGGCAAATGTATTTGCTTGCCGAATAGCAAAAGGCTAAAGCTGTTGTCAGAAGAATCCTTGGTTTGGCACTCCAGGTAGAGCTCAGGATATATTTATTTATTTATAGAGGATGTTTTTTTTCATTCACTGATCTTCAATTCAGTGTTGGTGCAGTGCTGCTTATATGTTAGGGCCTATCTAGAGTGAGCCTTAAATATTTATGGCTGTAGCAGTGCTCCAATAATGTCCTTTTCCATATAATATGCAGCTTCCTAGCAGCCTGCTTATTGCGAAGATGGAAGGCACATACCTGAATTTTTGCTGGATTTGGCCTTAACTGGTTATCACAATAGTATCAATCTAACTCTGCCAGGGTTTCAGTTAAATGTTGTTCAACCTCCTCAAATGTTTCTCCATGTACAGCCATTGCTCAGTCATCAGTATACATACAGTTATTATAACCCATACATTGGTATAAATATTAAAAAGAATTGGAGCCATTACATTTCCCTAAGGTAAATAAATGTACCTTTGATTCTTCCATCTACTTGAACTCCACAAAAAATATGTGGTTCTGAAGCAGATTCCTAATGATATCTGTAAGTTTAAAATCTGTAATCATATGATAAACTTTCTGCTTCAGTCTTCTAAGATTGATGGTATCATATGTGGCCGTGAGATCTGAGTACAATTCTTGATATGTTACATTTGAGTATGCTCATGAAAGGAGCTTCCCTGAAGAATGTGGTTCCCTGAAGAATGTGTGCTGTTAACACATCTGGATGTCCCCTGGGCAACAGCTTATAGTTAGCTAATTCTTTCAATCCAGAAGAATCCAAAGCATAGTGAAGTGCTCATTCCCACCTGTAACAATTTCAAGTGCTCATAAGTTTTTGAGGGGTACTTATACAAATATTCATGAGAATTACAGTATATTCCGCTTTTCCTTTAGAAGGTCTAATTGGTACATAGCACCTCTTTCTCCAATTTCTTCTTTTACCACCAGAATCAGAGGTGGGTGCAGTTAGGAGAACTGGCTAATCCCACCCTGTCTGCCCCACCTACCCTGACCCCCCTTATCTCACCTGGCCTGCCTTGACTGGTGCCTAGAGTTATGCATGTGTCCCTGCTGCTCTCTGGCTCCTTTGCTCACTCGCTTGCCCGGACTACGCGGCCCCCGTGGTTGAGCTGATCTCCGCGCCTTGCCTGCTTGCCTGCCTTTGCCGTGGCCTACCATGCTGGCCATGCGGCCCAGCTGATCTCTGTGCTTTGCCCGCTCTTCTCACCACAGCTGCCTGCAAAGGTAAGGCACTTGTCTGAAGGGCCACCTCGTGGTGGACACTGTGAAGCTCGGCCACCTTTTGGCCTGGCTCTTGCCATCCTTCTGCCTGCATGCTGCCTGCTCGCCCTCCGCCTTGGGTTGGGGGGGATGCGCCAGTTCCTGCCTCTCGCCTTCCACGGGGCCTCCATCCACATGCTGCCCACTCGCCCTCTCCCCCACCTCAGGTTCTGCATTCAGGCCACGACAGGGAGACCACTGCACTAGGGCCAAGACTGCTGCTCTGCTGCATTGCACATATGCAGACCCGGGATGCCCGCGTGCTGCCTGCCTGCCTGGAGCACCACCACTGCTTGGTGCTGTGCC